CTGGCTGGGGAATTCTGGGAGTTGAAGTCCACACATCTTAAAGTGGCCAAGGTTGAGGAACGCTGATCTAGGAGGACCCTATGCTTTTGCGCAAATCTTGGATGTTCCTCCCAGATTGAGCTCCTTGAACTTCTCCAATCTATCTTGGCTTGGCTTTTCCCACCTTTTTAGATGCTGAGCTTGTGCTCCCCACGATCCGCAGCGCAGTGGAGAAGCAACTGAACCTCATTGCTCAAGGGAAAGCAAATTATCATCAGGTGCTGGAGCACACCTTAGATATCTTTAAAAGGAAGTTCCACTACTTTGTGGATTCAATCGCTGGTAAGGCCCAACTCCTCCCCGGACTTTAACTTGCTTGCATTTTAGAATTCATAGTCATTAAAAGAAAAAGGGTCAGTAACATTGATGAGTCCGGGATTATACTGCTGTGTATGTAATTATGCATATGTAATTCTATTCTTTCCCCCTTTTTTTCTTGGTTTGATTTGCCTTTCCTGTTGCTTTTTACTTAATAAAAATAGAAATTTTTATTTGTCCCCATGGTAGATGTGGGACAAATATTCATCCCCTGAATTGTAACCTTGCCCCTTAGGAATTATCCACCGGCTCAGTAGCTTGTTATCTCTGGTTGTGAGTAAGAAAGGGTTATGTAGGGGTATACAGGTGTCTTTAGAAAGAGAGGATAAAATATAAATGCATAAATATAAAAGATTGGAAGCTGCTTCTTTATATCCTTCCTTCCTTTTTCTCTTTTCTTTCTCTTTCTTTTTCTCTTTCTTTCCTTTTTTCTTTCTTTTACCTTCTCTTTCGTTTTTTCTTTCTTTCTTTCTTTTTTTCTTTCTCTTTCTCTTTCTTTTTCTCTTTCTTTCCTTTTTTCTTTCTTTTACCTTCTCTTTCGTTTTTTCTTTCTTTCTTTCTTTTTTTCTTTCTCTTTCTCTTTCTTTTTCTTTCTTTCTCTTTCTTTTTTCTTTCTCTTTTTGTCTTTTTTCTTTCATTTCATTTCTACTTATCGCTTTTCTCTTACTTTTTTTTCTTTAAATTTGTATTGTTTTTACTTTGCAAAAAAGTTTCTTTAATAAAAATTAGTTTTTTTAAAAAAGAAGAGGTTACACAGGTGTGCACTTTCAAAGTTGTCTGACTTTTTTTGTCCACCCCGCCCCCAGGTATGGATGAATTAATGGAAGTGTCTTTTTCACCGCTGGCTGCCACAGGAAAGCCTCTCTCCCGATGTGGCAAATGCCATCGTTTTATGAAATATATCCAGGTAAAGAAAATCTGGAGTTTAAGCCAATGTAAGGGAAGGGATCAGAGATGTCATAATTTTTTTTTGCAATGATTGCATGTATTTGTTTCTGTATTTATAGGCAGCTTCCGTTTACTTTTTTAAATGTATTAGTATTATTATTAATTAGATTTATTATAGCCGCCCCACTCTAAGTCTGTTAACACTTGAAGTGGCCTTGAGCATGGATGAAATAATAATGGATGAGTGGTTTTATATATGGTAACTCCAGCGAGACTTATATGCTGGAAGAAGACGGAAGAATTTGGAAATACTGATAATGGAGGAATACGTTCTGAAGATAGAGTTTGCAGAGGTGGCTAAATTGACTTGTTTGATTAAGGAGGGAACTACAGTTACTTTTAGAAAAGACTGGAAACCCTTTATGGACTTTTTGCTGAAAACAGATAACCCTGAACTGGTAATTTTGGGATCTATTGATTAAAAAGGTTTGTTTATGGGAAGAAGGGAACCACGATAATGGAATTTGGGATGGAGGAGATGTAATTACTGTTTTACTCTTTTATATTTTCTTATCCTATTTTTTCTTTTTATGTTTCTGTAGTTTTTTAAATCTATGTAAAATCTTACGATAAAAATTACTTTTATAAAGAAAGAGAGCACGGACAAAATAATTGATGCTAAATAATAATATAAATAGTATTAATGTACTATTAAATGTTATAATTACAATATTATGAAATATGAATAATATAATAATAATAGTGTGAAACGATAAGACCACAGCATTACCAATGGTAATTTGGAAAGATAAGAACAGTCACTTCTCCTGCTGCAGATCAAACAATGCTTGATTTAATTTTCCAAAATGCAGATTTTTGAGTGAGTTGGGGAGAAGCCAAAAAGCATGACCGATTTGTGGCATTGCTACCTCAGCTTCCGTAATAATACTCCTTCTATCTGGCACACCCCGGAAGGAGAAAGAAACATTAAAGACACAGATCTTTCCTGTTGCATTTTTCCTCTTGGGGTGGGAATTGGCTTCTCCGGAGGCCGCACGAGGACCGACTTTCTGAAAGGTTTTGTGATTTGTTCTTTGCTTGTTATGTTTTAGGCCAAACCGAGTCGTCTTCACTGCTCGCACTGTGACGAGACCTACAGCCTTCCCCAGAACGGGACGATCAAACTCTACAAAGAGTTGCGATGCCCCCTGGACGATTTTGAATTGGTGCTGTGGTCTTCGGGGTCGAGGGGGAAGAGTTACCCCCTGTGCCCTTATTGTTACAATAATCCCCCTTTTAGGGACATGAAGAAAGGTGAGGCTTGGCATAGGGGATACGAACTCTATAGTGTTGTGTTTCTCAACCTTGGCAACTTGAAGATGGGTAGACTCCAACTCCCAGAATTCCCAGCATGGGTGGACTCCAGCTCCCAGAACTCTCCCATTGGAAGGGGAAGACTCCAACTCCCAGAATTCCCAGCATGGGTGGACTCCAGCTCCCAGAACTCTCCCATTGGAAGGGGAAGACTCCAACTCCCAGAATTCCCAGCATGGGTGGACTCCAGCTCCCAGAACTCTCCCATTGGAAGGGGAAGACTCCAACTCCCAGAATTCCCAGCATGGGTGGACTCCAGCTCCCAGAACTCTCCCATTGGAAGGGGAAGACTCCAACTCCCAGAATTCCCAGCATGGGTGGACTCCAGCTCCCAGAACTCTCCCACTAGCATGGGTTGACTCCAACTCCCAGAATTCCCAGCATGGGT